GAAAAATATTACAAACAATCGAGAGAGAAAAGAATCATGACTAGGCCTGATATAAAATGATTTTATAGAAAATGTTGTTGCTGATGCTGAGCTGGATTAAAATTATTTATTAAACTAATTTACAAAGTATAACTAAAAAAAGGAAGGAAGGAAAAATCAGTAAACTGGACTGTGAGTGGAAAATGAGTGATGATAAATGAAATTCTAATAAGTCTAATAAGCTGCTTAACCACCAGTGGACCGCCCAGAAAACGCTGAGCAAAACGCCAGTGGACCGCCAGCTTTGCCATCAGTGGGCCGACAGTGGTCCACTATCCTCTTGCTATCAGCTAACACCAGTAGCATTAGCACAAAGCCTGCAGCCATAGCATCTGATTCAGCGTCTGTTGCTGCCTTTAACCATGTTAACAAATATAAAATACTGTATCACCACTACATTCTAAGCACTTCTTTCCACTTAATGCACTGCCTTTTCGAGGCATTAGCGCTGGTCGCGGTGCTAGCGGCTGTAGCACTGGATTGTTATTCCTTGTTTATTGTCTGTGAGAATGAAATGGTGAAATGGGATGATGCTCAAACCGAGCTGTTTGGTTTGAGAGGGGATTTAAGGATGGCAGGCTGATCCTGTTGATCCTCCATGTCTCTCTCTCTTTCAGGGCAGCCAGCGCGAACGCCGGGTTACAAAACAGACGGTTTTTACAGGGGTAATACAAGGTGGGATTATATTTCAACATAAACCTTGAAGCTCCACACTTCAAAATGTAGAAACATCCCAGATCTAGGATTAAAAGGAGTTGGATGTTATAATGAGGACCGCGTTAGTGTCCCAGGATACCCTCGGCAGACTCAGCACCTTAATATTCAGCACCATCACTAGCACACATTACATAAACTGCAGCAATCTCTGAGCAATCTATTCAGCTCAGTTAGATGTAAATCAGCAGTGATAACCCACCTCTCAGTTCTTTAGCATTAGCATTGTCCTATCACACAATGCAATCTGGCCTCTGAGCCCTATTCACTTGCTTTTGTTTACTTGATGAGGTCATTTGTTTATTACAACGCGCCTCCATCTCCAAAGAGTGACCTCACACTCTTTCAGGATTCTTGAATGGTGTTACCAAAGATATACATACCTAGATGCCACGTTGGGTCCAGCCAGGCACGTCAACGGCGCCGCCATTTTAGGAGGGTCAACATCGCTGCTGGACTGCATTCAGTACCATTACAGAGCAGCAGTTTAATAAAGATACTGTCCAAAATTACACTATTTCAGGAATATCACTCTCAGACAGTGGGACAGGATTATATAACGGAGGGAACGCAGTGATCCACACTCATGTCTGTGTGATGTGTATTGGTTGTGTGATGTTTATGTGTAGATATGGCCGTGTGGTTAATGAGGCACAGAGAACCTGTTGATGTGATTGTTTTTCCTCTGGTTTTATATGAAGCTTATTTCATTTAATAGTCTATTCAGGATCTTAACTTTATGTAGTAGTTATTTATTTACAGTGATGGTTAAAGCTTTGTAGCGGTAAGTTACAGCATTCCTTAATCCGTGTAGATATTCATAATCGATTAACGTTAGAACCTTCTTACATGAAGCAGAAGTTAGCTTCTAATTTACCAGCTTCTTGTTTGATTTTTCCTGTGACTGCTGCACTATTTAAGGTGGGACGGGAAAACTCGGACAAGAAGCTGGCGAATAGGAAGCCAACTTCAGCTTCGTCCTTCTTAGTGTTTGGGGGGGTTTATTTTATTTTTAAGTGTAGATTAGAAGTGATTCACACATTGATGGATTTGCTGATGTATATATATATATATATATATATATATATATATATGTGTGTGTGTGTGTGTGTGTGTGTGTGTATATGCATCATCGAGCCATCAGGCTAAAGTTCTAAAACATGGTGTGAAATAACTGAAAATATTTTCAAACCACCTGAAAAGCTACTACTATACAGGTATGAAACTGAAGCCCAAACCTGACCAAAACTGGTACCGCTAAATCTGACACCCGACCTGCATGCATACATAAAACAATAAACATAAAAATCACTACTTAATCACAAACCTGAGCTCAATGCACATAAATAATCGCCCCAAACTCAGCTCGAAACCTACTATATTGAACCGTGTCAAGCTCAGACGTGGTGGCAGACACAGACTCTAATACCAAAATCTCATTCATAGTAGGGCCTTGTTAAAAAAAAGAGAAATTTTTTAAAAAGATCCGAAAAATGAACCCAAAATGAAAAAAAAACCCCAAAAAGTTGTAAATAAACTAAACAAATTTAGGGAACAAATTTACAGATCTTCACTCATGGTGTGAAGATTCCAACAAACGGTCATATGAAAACAATGGCTAACCACAGCTGAAAGGAAGTGAGAGAGAAAAGGAGGAGGAAATCATGCCCTGCATGAGTTATATCCTCAGATATGAACAAAGACGTGAGAAACAAAGCAGTTTCTGCATTCACACGGATCATCGGCCATGAATAATACAAAAGGATAGAAAACAAGGCTGTAAAGATGTATAGATCTAAAGGTTAACTGCATCAAATCTGAATTTATAAATCTCAATTTATTAGACTGAATATAACATTATTCCATAAAGTATACACATTGATTGTTTGGCCAAAACAAAATTTGAAAGCTTTAAAAATCCCAAAATTTAGATTATTTTACTTACACTGTATTTTATTGCCACCTTTTTTTGTTTTTGGTGAATTAAAAAAAAAAAAATCTGTATTATTCCAACATAATAGTGCAGAAAATTTAGATTAGCCGATTCACTGAATAACTTGCTCATTCAAAATCATGTTAGCTACGTGAAAAATGAAAGTGTATTAACATTTTATTACCATCTTCACCAGTCATGTGAAATCAGCCACGGGACTAAATGGTTCCAGCTGACCTTTCCACTGGTCGCCTGGCCAGCTAGAAAGCGGTATGCAAAAACAACCCTTATAGCATAAAGGCTGCACCACTGGGTCAGATTAATACATCATTAAAGCTAACCAGCTTAGCACCAATCCACTTATCTGGGGAAGCACCAGTAAACCAGCCTAGTTTGTGCTCCAGTTTAGCCTGATCACAAAGCTGGTGCTGGATAAGCCTTGTGAACACAATGCTGCTGTAGCTGTTAGCCATGCTAGCTGGATGCTCTGTTAAACTGCTAGCTAGCAGGCTCACAGCACAAGGCCAAAGCCTCTATTAGTCATCTCCACTGAGGATCCTTTCCCAACCTCGGGAGACGTCTGTTTGCTGGCAACAGCACTTAAAATACCAGAGGGAGTTAGCATGAGTAGCATGATTAACATGGTTTTGACCCTAAGTGTAGCGATGAGCACGTCCTCTCAGGAGAATCTGCTTACTGGCACCTTTAATGCTCCAAACCCAGACAGCAGCCTATATCGGTCCGCTGGCTTGATAAGGTCGGCACCCCACTGACTGTTTGCTACTGCTGGTCCACCATCAGACCACCCAGATTACTGTCCTGCATATAAGCTCTAACTAGTTAGTATAACAAGTTAGCTAGTGTAAAATGATTGTATAGAAAGTGTTGCTGACGCTGAGCTGGATTAAAATGATTTACTAAACTAATTGACAAAGTATAAAGAAAAGAAGGAAGGAGAAATCAGTAAATTGGACTGTGGGTGGAAAGTGAACGACGATAAGTGAAATTTTGTCTATTACTCCGCTTAACCACTGGTGGACCGCCCAGAAAAAGCTGAGCAAAACACCCGTGGGCCACCAGCTCTGCCATCAGCGGGCCGACAGTGGTCCAGTGTCCTCTTGCTATCAAGGAAGGAGCCAGTTCAAGTGCGAACATTTCGATTACACAATTATATTTCGAGCAATTTGATTTGCTAGCAGTTTTGATTTGCTGGCATTTCCATCTAAAACGTATCAAGCAAACATATTTCTGTAACCCTGTGAACAAGCAGCAGCCCAAAGTTTCCAAACCTTTCCATGACCTCCTGTAGCTGTTGGTGTCACGCAGGGAGGCACTGCTTTGAGGCAAGGCTCAACCGCTAAGCCCTTACGTTGCAGTTTGCCCTGGGACATTTTTCTGGGTCAGTTGGGCAAGAGCAGGGTGCCAACACCGACGGCAAACCTCCTCATCCACTTACACAGCGCAGCGTAAGGCCTGAATATGTGTCAGTCGGACAAAACACAAGCTCTACTATCATCTGAGCTTAGCGTCCGAGCTCACAGGTGAATAAATCGCTGATGACGGAACAAAACCTCATATCTCCATTTTTATCGTTTTTTTAGTTTCTGACATAATTTGAAAAAGCCTGTTGTCCTTTACATTATGGGTGAAGTTCGAGATGACTGGACCAAAAGAATCGGCCCAAAACTTCTCTGAAAAAATTCTGGTTCCATTGACTTGCATTAAAAGTCTGTTTTTTCCTTCTCCTGTAAAGTTACCATTTTAGATGTATGAGGTTTTGTTCTGACAGCAGCGACATTCTCTACAAATCTGACTAATGTATATCTTGCATGCAATTTTTTTAAACCAGCCCAAAGCAGAAAATGCAGTGAACCTTTAAACATTTTCCCAACCCAAAAAAGCCAGAACACACAAATTACAGTTTTCTGTTCTTTTTATTTGCATACAAAACAAAATTGTGCATTCCAAGGTTCGAACTTATACAAAAAACTTTAAAAGAAACAAACACTGCATGACTTGAAAGCATTTGACACAAGTCAACCCAGGTCAAGCCCGAGATAGTGAACATGTAGGTCCCTGGAAGTTGTCGCTCAAACTCTTGGCCCCGCCCCCTCCTCTTGCCACTCGATGTGTCTGAGGCTGAAACGAAACTTCGCTTCCACACTATCGGCACTGCTGCTTCCTCTTCTTCCGCCGCACAAAACATCTGACAGCTTTCGCAGTGGTGCATTTTCTTTTTTAATATTTCAAAACACAACATTAAAAAAAGGGAAGGAGGTACGGGCCGTCTCGGGGCTGTACAGTCATTTATTCGTTTGTTTTTTTTGGTTTGGTTTCGTCCAATCAGAATGCAACTTAGGTTTGTCGAATTGGCTTTTGTCGTTTCCCATTACAAAGTTAACAGCTAAAAGGTGAAAAAAGAAGGCAATGTGGAATGTACAGTGCATAGTGGAGTCTTGAGGTGGGGCTTCATGATGAGCCCGCCTGCTTCTCCTGTTCAATGGCTGAAAAGGAAAAAAAAGACATTAATTACATCATTTTGTCTTTCATTTGTGTTTAAATCTGGACATCATATACATATAATTGCAAACCCAAGTGCCTATAGATGACTAAACATATTGCAAATCTAATAGGCCATACTAAGGTACTTACTCTCTTTTGATGGCAAAGGGTTTTTCTCCTGGGTCTCTGTCTTCTTCAGCTTGCTCTTGTCGAAGCTGGTGACTTCCTCCAGGTTTGGTTTGTCAGACATGTTTGCGGTTGGTCTGAAACAAAAGAGAACATGCTGAGCATCTCAATTCTGTCCTCCAGAGCCCAAAAACTGACCTGTGACCTCAAAACCTGGCCCAATTTATACCCTACTAAGATTCCTACCACAGACAAAACATTTCCAAAGGCCATAATTCAAGATTTTTTTTAAATGCATTCAAGACAAACAATTAAGACATCTGGACACATCTGCCAATCCGTCACTCAGACAGACTCTCTTGCATTTCGCAAGCGCTGCCCTGCAAAAGCCGTCCAGATTTCAGAGATGGACCAGCACGTTTCCGTGCGTGCTCACATCTCACACAGTTGCATGCATCCGTAAGGCTGCTGCATATTTCCATGCGCGCTGCTGGACTGGGCGCAGCTGCCCGAACAAAGACTGGACAGCTCATGCAGCTTTTGTCTGACGCACAGTGACGAAATCTTCCTTTAAAGCCACTAATAAGCTGCTGTGCTTGCTATGAAGTCAGCATTACTGCGTGAAATGGAGCCCTGCTCTCGGAAGGCCCAGAAAGAAAGCCAGAAAATAAAATAGTGCTGCCTTAAATGAGGCCAGGAATAGAGTGTGCATTAAAATCATGTACATTTACAGTATGTGGTGATGTGGGGAAGCTGAAATATCATATAAAGTGCACTTACCAGGTGGTTGCTGGTAAAACAGATGATGTGGCCTTCTCCAGATAAAACTGCACTGTGAGAGAGCGGAGCTGGGCACCACCTTATATAGGGGCCGTATGCAAACGAGGGGCGTGACGTCACACCCGCCGATTTCGAAATATCTGCTCACGGGAAAACAATCCCGTCGCGAGAGGCTTTAAAACGTGCATTTGTGTTAAAATGAGAGTAAATAGTTGTGACTGTATTTTTCAAAAATACGCGTTTTTTCAGCACAAAGGGACACGACGTCATCGCTGCACAGCACCGAGTGGCCAACGCCCTCTGCGCGGCTGAAAGGCTGTGAAGCAGTGGCACCTGGCGGCCGCTGGTGGTACTGCAAGTTGGAATATGTTTACTCCACAATGCTCTGGCTAATGATTCCCAGCTCTAGATCTGTAGTCCACCTGCACTGCGCAGCGTTGTTTTCCTGCCCTGACACAACTGATTCAGCCCTAGAATCACTTATGATGTGAAAACAAACACAAATTTGTACAGATGGAACTACAGGACTGGAGCTGGAAACACCCACGGTAAAAATTTGGGAACATTTGTACTGTTTCACTTTATTATTTCATGCAGAACTGGTTTATTTTTATTATTTCCTAAACTGATCAGGCATAACATTCTGACCACCTCCTTGTTTCTATGCTCATTGTCCATTTTATCAGCTCCACTTACTATATAGGTGCACTTTGTAGTTCTACAGTTACAGACTGTAGTCCATCTGTTTCTCTGATACTTTGTTAGCCCCCTTTTACCCTGTTCTTCAGTGGTCAGGACCCCCATGGACCCTCACAGAGCAGGTACTATTTGGGTGGTGGATCATTCTCAGCACTGCAGTAACACTGACGTGGTGGTGGTGTGTTAGTGTGTGTTGCACTGGTCTGAGTGAATCAGACACAGCAGTACTGCTGGAGTTTTTAAACACCTCAGTGTCACTGCTGGACTGAGAATAGTCCACCAATCAAAAATATCCAGCCAACAGTGTCCTGTGGGCAGCATCCTCTGACCACTGATGAAGGACGAGAGGATGACCAACACAAACTGTGCAGCAGCAGATGAGCTATCGTCTCTGACTTTACATCTACAAGGTGGACCGACAAGATAGGAATGTCTAATAGAGTGGACAGTGAGTGGACACAGTGTTTAAAAACTCCAGCAGCACTGCTGTGTCTGATCCACTCAGACCAGCGCAACACACACTAACACACTAACACACCACCACCACGTCAGTGTTACTGCAGTGCTGAGAATGATCCACCACCCAAATAGTACCTGCTCTGTGAGGGTCCATGGGGGTCCTGACCACTGAAGAACAGGGTAAAAGGGGGCTAACAAAGTATCAGAGAAACAGATGGACTACAGTCTGTAACTGTAGAACTACAAAGTGCACCTATATAGTAAGTGGAGCTGATAAAATGGACAATGAGCGCAGAAACAAGGAGGTGGTCAGAATGTTATGCCTGACCGGTGTATATATTACCACTGTTACAATAATAAGGCAATAAATTGATGTACTCTGCCTCCATTGTGTGTGTGTGTGTGTGTGTGTGTGTTAATAATGTGTGAATGGTAAGGAGGGGGGCAGATTTTATTTCCAACCTTTATTTAAAAAAAAAAAGCAAAGACAATCAATTATTGAATAACTTTTTACAGCATGTCAACCCCCAATATGAAACTCATATGAAACTTATACTTTAAACATTACAGATTCAAATCTATTCTAAAAAACGAATATCACTTTAATTGACAAGATGTATAAAGATTTGCATTGCTTTCAGGATTTTTATACAAATATGAAAGAACAATATAAACACAGTAGAAAGTTTGTGATAACCTTAGTTTTAACACACAAACGACAGGAGAAAAGAATGAATGAATGAATGCAGTTTACTCTTCTTTTCCCGGACATTAAACTTTAAACATTAAACATTCAGTTTCATATCTGAATCAGCATCAGCAGAAGTCGATATTCTGATGATTATAAGTAAAATATGAAGCAAAAATACTGAACAAACAAGAGGAAACTCACAGCTTTCACACAAACAGCTGAATGAACTAAACTCGTGGTCTGTGTGAAAACAGATAAGACCTCGTTCTGGACTGGGTTACAGTGCACAAGTCCTGTTTCAGTCTAGCAGCCATCACTGTCGGCAGAACATTGTTAAAAATGACATCTTGGAAAATTAAATCTTGTCACTATATCTAATATCTAGTGATGCACTGTAAGAATGGTATAGGATTATTCAACTTACTTAAACACACGTTTACTTAGCAAAAGTAAGCACAGCAGCGATATGAGCCGAGCAGAACTCTCAGATCATTAGGAACTGGTCAGTCAGTCCTGCCGAAGGTGGAGACTAAACATGGAGAAGCAGTGTTTAGATACTGTGCTGCTCTTAAATGGACCCAGTGGACAGAGATCATTAGAAGAGCCGACACTGGACACTTTAAACCAGCCTGAAAATGATCCTGTCTGAGCAGCTTTCAGCTCAGTTCAAACACTGTTAGCATTTATAGACCCTTTTCTCTGTAAAAGCACTTTATTATCCTTTATTATCCTAATTTAATGTTTAATTTTTCATTTAATTTTTATTGTTTGAGCAGCTTTCAGCTCAGTTTTAAACACTATTAACATTTCTAACCTTTTTCTCTGTAAAGGCACTTTATTATCCTTTATTATTCTAACTTTTAATTTGATTTTTATTGTTTCAGTAGCTTTCAGCTCAGTTTAAACACGGTTAGCATCTCTAGCCTTTCTTCTCTGTAACAGCACTTTATTATCCTTTATTATTCTAATTTAATTTCTAATTTGATTTTTAATTTCACAACTTTCTCTTTTAAATCTATTGTTTTAATCCAGTTTTAATAATGTTTTTAATTTCTATTCTCCTTAATGCATTTTTAAATGTATTTTCTCATTTGTAAAGCACTTTGAATGACAGCAGCGTATGGAAGGTGCTCTATAAATAAACTTGCCTTGTCTAGTATTAATAGTAATGGTGATTACATTTTTAAATTGCCATATTCTGTTGGAAATCTGCTTTTTTTAAAGACAGAAACAAGCAGTAAGTGGAGTAATCCTGCAATGTTCTTACAACAATCTGAAAATAAGAAATATTACAGTATATCAGTTAGACTTAAGCTGACTTCCTCTGCCAAGACAGTTTTCCAGTAGAACTGGTCCCCATTTCAGTCTTCTGCCCTCCTGCTGGTGAAGTATCTGGAGTAGATTTGGCTGTACATGGCGCTGTTCTCCACCCGGATGGCGTTCCGCAGACACTGCCAGAACCACGGTTCTGCGGCTGGCGCCCGTGGCCACTCGAGGACACTTCGGCCACACAGGCGCCGCCGCAACCGCAGGAAGTGAGAGTTCTGGAGGACGGGCTCCAGCAAGATCAGCACAATCACATCCTCACTTTCCTCCAGTAGCCGCTGGTGGGCCAGGTACACTGCCATCTTGAAAGAGCCACTGTTGACGTAACTGCGCGTGAGGACAAAGACAGTCTTGCGGCTCTGCTGGATACTCTGGGTCATGTTATCCAGCAAGGGGCAGCCTGGCACCCAGTCCCGCTCCTCCAGGCACACGGGTAGGTACCGCTCCCCCTGTTCCTCCAGCTGTACCCGCAGATGGTTCAGGACCCATTCGGATACCAGTGGGTCCTTGGTGTCGTAGGTCACAAAGGCATCGTAGATGCTGTCCACAGAACTCAGGTACTGGTATCCTTTGAATTTGGCTTTCATATAGAAGAACAAGTACGAAACATCCCAGTAGAACAAGTGCATTATGGTTGAGATGAAGGTTACACAAAAAATGAAGAAGGTCGTGAAGAAGTAGACCAGGAAGGCAACATCGTTGTCAATGCATTCCTTGATGTCGAAATGCACCACTGCTTTCCCTTTGACGGATTCAGGAATGTTGCATTTCACGGAGGTGACAAGATTTGGGATCGCCACATCGCTGCTGTCAATCCAAAGGATGAACTCGATTATGTCACACGTGCAGCGGAAAGGGTTGCCGTGGAGCCACAAAGTGCTCAGGTGGTTCTCTTGCTTGGACGGGAAGGTGGACTCATTGACGATGGCCAGTCTGTTCTGGCTGAGGTCCAGTCGCTTGAGATTCACAGCACCGATGAGAAACCTGTCGGTCAGTTGAGAGATCCTGTTGTGCCTGAGGTCCAGATACTGCAGGTAGGGGGTGCTCACGCTTATGTTATTGGATACATTTGTCAATCTGTTGTAACTAAGGATGAGCTCCTCGAGTTGTGTGAACCTTTTCATCAAAGTCCAGTTGAAACTCGTCAGAGTATTGTGGGCCAGTCTGAATTTCTTGATCGTGTGAGGCAGGTGGGCGTAAACTCTATCAGGGATATCTGTCAGCTCGTTGTGCGAGATGTCGAGGTACGTCAGGTTTGTCAATGATTCGAAAAGCTTGTCATAAGTTTTATCTTTCCATAACTTCTGGAGCTTGTTGCCCTGGAACTGGAGCTCGTTGAGAGATTTGCTGTACAACCTCTTTGTTGTTAAGGTAAAGATGCCGTTGGAGCTCATATTTAGGACTCTCAGCTTGTGCAACTTATTTAAAAAATATAGATTATGGGTAACTCCAGGCACAGTAAAATAATGTGTGTTGAAGCTGAGGTCCAGCACCTCCAACTTCTCCAACTCTTTAAAGGCGTTATCATAGGCCAAATCAATTTTGTTGTAAGACAAGTCTAGATATTTCAGCTGGGGCAAAGCTGTGAATTCGGACCCATTCGGAGCTGCTGCAAAGCCGTTCCTGGACAGGTTGAGGCAGGATATGTTCTCGTATCCTTTAAACTGCTCAGGGGAGATGAAAAAGAGATTGTTCTTGCTTAGATCCAGCACACGACCAGCATTGTAACACTCAGGTTTGACGAGCCTGTTGGACACCTCAAAATTTTGTTCCTTTTTAGAGCTGGACCCTGACAGTCCAGGAAGGGTGAAAACTGAACCAAAAGTGCTGCCCAACTGCCCGACCTCAGAGGTGCTAACGGGATAAAGACGGTTTTCCGAAAGATAGAGCAGTTTCAGACTCTGAAATTGCCTGAAGAGGTCTGACTTTGCACGTACAATGAAATTTATCCCTAAATCCAACACCGACAGATTTTGCAGGTTGTAGAGAGGACTCA